ATTCATTTTGTGATTTATATCTCACTTTTCTCCCCAGAAGTGTGGCCCAAGGCAGCTCATAACATATTTAGCAAAAACACATTTTAAAAGTTATACAGTGGGGGCCTCAGTTTCCACTGGGTACCAGTTCTGGAGCAGAACTATTCAGAAGTGAACTGTGAACAAAGTTGCTGTGATTCTTTTTATCCACACATAGCAAGAGATTGAAAACAGGTATTTTGTGGACATTAATGCCTCTTTATTAAAGCACCCCAAAACAAAACTCAGAAAAGGAGCATTAATACCAGACAATACCTAAGATAAAGTACACACTTTTTACCAGCTGTCTCTGCTGTTACATATCCGGGGATACATATTTTGGGGGAAACAACAGATGCACCTATAGCTTTGCTGTTTTGTAGGCAGTTCAGATATATTGTTCCATAATCTACAGCAGTGAAGCAGCTGGGTGACATTAGCAGTAATTGCCTAATATTGTCATCTCTTTTGCTTACATGAAGAGAAAAGCAACAGACTATCAATCAGATGACAGACTATTCAGAGCCTATGATCATAGTAAGTGCTTCTGAATGTCATAGCAACAATCTTGTGAGAGATAACACTTGATTGTTTTCATGCTGTGCTACTCATAGTGTCTGCTTTCCTCTATTAGTTTTATTTTTAGTTTTAAATGTCATGTTCAACATTACTACTAAGTTTCTGCTTAAATTTAATTGAAGTGAGTCCACATTTGACCTTGTCCAGCTTCTTGTGCCTATTGTGTAGTTGGTTATGCCTTACCTCTAACAAAACATTGTGGAAAATAAAACTTTAGTTATTTTTTTCTATGTTTTAAAACTAATTAATCTGCCAGTAATTTCATCATATAATTAATTTAACCATAATATTTAGTGAGTAATATGAATATAATTGTAAAAATAAATTGCTTTGCAAAATGTCAAACCATGTAACTTTTAAAAAATGCCTATAGTTGTCCTATGAAATCAGTTCATATGTTAGTAGTCATATATTTGCTATGTTAGCAACAGTTAAAATTAGTAGTAGTAGTAGTAGTAGTAGTAGTAGTAATTTCTTACCTGCCTCTCTGCATAGATTGGGGTGGGGGACAACAATTAAAAAACAAACAGCATAACTCAAAACACATTGGCTAAAACACACATCAGTTCAAAAGGACAAATAAAATGTGCACATATTAAAACAATCCACATCTAAAATTTGTCATTTAAAATTCACAATTTTTTATGTAATAATAATATGGAAGCATAGGACCAAAAGTGGATACCAAATCCACCCTTCTACATCCCTGGCAATATAGAGTCATCTGTGGCTCAAATGCCATTGTATGTCTCATCCTGTGCAGCATAGAAAACATTAGGCAGAGGGAAATGATCGTTTCAGAGAGCAGATACTGGGCAACATGGAAGGGATAGGAGCACTGGCTGTTACCCTCTCCTGCATGACATGCTAGCATGTTCAAGGCCAGTAGTTCTCAGACTTTGATATTTTGGACTACCCCTCCCAGAAACCCCAGCCAGTATGATAGCTGATCAAGGATTCTGGCAGCTGAAGTCAGAAACAGCTGATGGAGAACCACTGTTCTAGACAACCTGAACAGCATAATCTAAGCTTGCCCCAGCTGAAGTAGAGGGTTCTTCCCCTTCATCGCTGCAAGTTCCTTTCAGTTTCCGCAGGAGGAATGAAATCATGTACAGCAGTGGTTCCCAAACTTTGGTCCTTCAGATGTTTTGGACTTAAGCTCCCAGAATTCCTTACCATTGGCCAAGCTAGCTGGTGCTGCTGGGAATTGAAGTCCAAAACACCTGGAGGACCAAAGCTTGGCAATCACTGATGTAGAAGTTGAATCTCCCCTATCCAAAGTGCTTGGGAGCAGAAGTGCTTTGGATTTTAGAATGTTTTAGAATTATTTGCATATACCGTATGTACATTATGAGGTACATTATGAGAAGGTAATTTTATACAATATTTTAAATAATTTTGTTCATGAAACAAAGTTGAGGTACATTGAAACATCCGAAAGGAAAAGTGTCACTATCTCAGCCAACTATGAAAAAAGCTTTGGTTTTTGGAATATTTTGGATTTTGGAATTGCAGAAAAGGGAGATTCAACCTATATTTTGTCAGTGGCTGACAAATGTCTTGGGACAGGGCTGTGGTTTCAGATCCCCAAATACTGATAAAGTCAAGAGCATATAAGGGGAGAGGTCCCTGGCTGGTTGAGTAGGGAATTTAATTAACCTTATTAATACTGATACTGACCTATGACTTAAACACAGAAAAGAAAGGAGAATAAAATTAGCAAATGTGCTGCAGGGAAAGAATGCTATCTCATGGTTGTGTCAATCCAGCCTATGCTGTTAATCTTATTACACCTGCAAAGCCACCTAGTAAGTGTCATGATGCTCCTG